GGGGAAAGAAATGCTTCTATCTGACGCAGAAAATATTTCATCAAAAAAAAAAAAAAAAAAAAACCCAACTAAATATAAAAACTTGCCAATTGAATGCGTTCAAGAACTGATTGAAGCTCATCAGTGAGCGTTTCGATCTGTTGGCTCTGTTGCGCAAGTTGTGTGTTCATGTTCCTGCAAATATCACTTGAAAATTTTGCAAATCACTATTACTTACCAAATGAAATGAAATATATTGAAATAGAGCAAATTAAGTTAGAAATCAAAAACATCGAAATAAAAAATCGAAAAAAACATAAAAAACAAAAAGTCGAAAAAACATATTTTAACCATAAAATATATAAGTAAAGCACACTCATAATTTTGACGATCAACAAAGAAGCCCGTCTTATCACGTGCCGCTTGTAAATCACGCATTAGGCGATTCATTTCATCATTGTAAGCCTGAGACAGAGACAGACCAATTAGTAAAGATTACTTAATTGAAAGTGCAGCCATTCGAATGAAATGATATAGGCTACAAATGAGTATAACACATAAAACACAAGCCATAATTACCATAGTTGGTTGTGACAGTCTTCTCACTGCACTTACTAAATTTGATGAGATTTTCAGTGACATGAACAAACCTTAAGTAGAGCACGATGAGTCAATTTTTGATTTATTTCAGGTTGATTCTTAATATTTTTTGCAGTTGAAGCATATTCTAATGTGCTAATCGACTCCTTAAACAAAAAAAATAAGAAAAAGCAAATTGAAAAATCTTTTTAATCGTTAAAATCAACAAAAAACCATTACTTCTATCCTATTAAATAGAAATTAAAATGTGTGGCTGATGGTCATAACTTACCTCAATATTGGTAGAAGCAGGCGACAACGTTGCTACAATAGTAGTAATAGTCTTCCCACCTAATGAATCTTGCAAAATCCTCGTAAGCTTGCTCTCTCTAAAACATTAACTTATTAAGCCTGTACAGTTTCCATTTCCATTATCTACTGTGCAAGATACACCAAATTTTATACAAAGAGCCTGGCAAATTAAAAACACGAAAATTTGAACATTTACCTGTATGGGACATGACCAGCTCCCGAAGTTAAAGCCATAATGACTCGACCCAGTGTTAACAAAGATTGATTAATACTTCCTGTATGTAATGAAAGGCATAATGACCAGAATTAGATTTAAAATGTCCAAACAAATTTCCGTAATGAACAGTTTCAGGAAATAAAAACAGCTGCAAGTAATATTATTTCAACTAGGTATATAGAAATACAAAAAAAGCCAACCTGCTTCCCGAGCTCTTTTATCGATGGAACCCGAACGACCAATATTTTCCGAACCAGCCAAATCAATTAAACTTAACTTTCCTTGCTTGATAACTTCTTCCCCGCTCACAGTATTTTCTCGAATTACAACTGTTATTGTGAAAACGGTATGAGAGCGGCTAAAAATCAAAAAAGAATCACGTCCCTCCTAAAATTTAAATTGATTACAGTGATTTAAAATGACAAAATAATTATCACATTTATTTCATTATAACCTTGAATTCAAGTTCATTTGAGTCACAGCAGTTCTTCGTTTCTCTGCACCCCTTTTTAACAGTTCACGAACTTCAAGACGGTCAGACACTGGAACTTCTTCCAAGCCACTAATAATTACCGAACCCTAAACTTTGCCAGAATATATCAGTTTCTGCAATCTTCGTAAACATTAAAGAAATCACAATATTAAAGAGGTGCGAAATTTGTTACCTTCCGCACAGAATCTTCGAAAAGTCGCAATCTTGCATGACCTAGTTCAGCATTCCCAAGCAAGTCGTACAGTTCTTCGTTGTATAACTCAACATATGATACACGAACTGAGAATTCTTCCGCATCCTTCAAACTTGTAGGATTATCTTTAGTTAAATTTATAAAAGCTTTCCTATTGTCCCACCTGAATTACATCAACTACCATCAATTCTTTATAAATTTTAAGTAAATGGTTTTCTGAACTGATTTTGCCGATAAATACAAACAGCTCTCGGTTAAATATTTCCGTCAAAATTCTACAATCAAGATCGACAAAAAAAAAATGAATTCTCTAATATTAGAAGTACCTGGTTCTCCAACTCAGTAAAAATGTGTTGCAAAGCTCGTGGCACCATACCAACTGATGAATCTTCGTTCCATGCGTGTTCATAAGCTGAACTGATTTGCTCACCTTCCATTGTAAATGTCTTGCCTGTACTTGTCTGTCCGTAACTGAAAATAACTTGAAAGAGGTTAAAACATCTGAAGAATTTTTAAAAATAATAATAAAGTAGCTGGACATAAAAGGAATAAAAAATAGACACTTACGCAAATAAAGTGCAGTTGTAACCAGCAAGAACATTTTTGACCAATGGTTCGACCAAATCCAAGTATATGTCGAGCTGTTTTGCATGCGTTCCGTATACCTAAATTTACAAAAAAGATCAGATCTCAATTAAATCTCCAAAACAGTACCCTTTATTTCGGATACTGGATTGAACACATTTTAACGATCTAAAAGCATTCAAAGTGTTAGACAATTCATCATAATCAAAAATCTTGACTTTATATCATATTGGTTAAAACCTAACAACGTAGTTTTGCAGAGCAAAAAGAAAGAGAAAATCCAAGACAAGGCTAATAAAACCTTTTTCGATTTAGATGACAATAGGCCGAATGGTATCTTGCGGTTCATGGACCCAGCAAGGCATAACAGCTAGTCTAAAATGAAACGCAAACCTTATCAAATGGTCCAAATTCCTTGTTGACTCCCCGGTCAATTACAGCAACAATTCGTTTGCGAGCATTTGCCATAAGTGAGCAGCGAGCCCTCTCAGCAATTTCATTATCATTCATCGGTCTAAACTTGATATATCATACTTCTTAATTGAATTGACTACAGAAAGCTTCACACTTCGTTATGTGCGCCTTTCCTATCTCTTGTTTTAATCCTACATTACTAATCACTAGTAATTGTCTGTTAAAAACTAATCTGTTAAAAATATCTATATACCTTATTCGAACGGCAACGCGTACGTTTTTGCCAGTTTTAGGAGTTTTATCTGTATTCGACATTTTCACTGAAATCAGAATAATGTGAAAATATATAATTACATACGTAATAACGCTGGGAAAAGGCAAATTTTCCAAAAATACTGTCGAGTGATATATCAGGTCCTTTAAAATTGTAGTCATAGGATGACAATCGACTGCTTTAATTTTCAAAAAAGGAAGGTTAAAAAGACTAAAACTGGAATAGAAATTTTTCCCAGTTCACTCGAAATGTCAAATCATTTTTTCCGATCTACAATGCACTACAAATCCCTGATCAACCTTGGACGTTAACATACTATAATCCTATTTTACACAAATGATATATGGAATAGCAGGTAACCAAAAAACCATCGATAAAACAAAAATCGTAAACTAGATCAGCAAAATCGTTAAGTCCTTCTTGAATTTTTCTGGGGGAAGAATTATTTCACATTGTTCTATCTGGGCTAACTTCATCCATAACCCTTACTTGCACTACATTTGCATACTGTTTCCTTGAGTATTGGTAAATACTATTGTTTCCTCCAGATAACTGTGTTTAATTCTAGCATCATTATAAGCTTATATATATATGTACATATATATATTGTAGGAATAGTCGTTTGCTATCCTGCTTTATGCATAGATACCGTATGAGAGTCGATGTCTTATTCATTAAAAAATAGAAAAATTAAAGTCCCCGCCACTGTAACTCACTTCGCCTCAATCGGGAATGGAATACATTGTGACGGTCTGTCCCACCTACCATTTTAATCCAAAACACCTCCTCACAGCAAATGAATTTTTAACAGTAGTGAAATCTTGAAATGGATTATTTTTAAACAAGAAACTCATGAATACTTATCGAAATCACAACTAAGCTCTTAATAAAATTATATTATTTCATCTGATCCAACAATGTAATATGCTGCATTGCTTCTTTCGAAAACGTAAAACAGTCAAAAGAAGTGCAAGTGTTGAACGATTCATTTATACTCTCAAATGCAAGCATTTTAAAGGAAGAATTATTTGAAACAAACCAAAAAAATACTCCCGTCAACGGATAAATCAAGCATCTATCCTGGAGTATGCTCATCCTTCTATAAGAGTGACTAAACGATTAACCCTACGAGTTAAAAAGCTGACCACTTAGAGATACCTCCGCGACCTTTGACCCTAGCAGTAGCACCACCATATTATCATGCATATACTAGAAAATTGTATCCGAATTGTTTGGAAGTCGCATCCGAATTATCCCGCCAAAGTTTCCATCATACCTACAATGAAACTTTGAATCCCTCGAATTAACGTTAGATAAAAGCACGGTAAAAAACTGTATTGGGAGTTGGGAGATGTTGGTGATTTGCGGCGTACTCGTGGTTTATCTCCTGCATATCACTTTATCGTAGAGTGGTTGAAATTATCAGTATTTTCAACCATTCTTCAATCATCAGCTTTTTTCGGACTACAGTTATGAATATGAGAGGACCTTTTCTCTCAATTCGCTTTACTTTGCTTTATGTATTTATGTATTTGCTCATTTTAAGAAGTTAATTTTCTTGTAAAGTGTAGTTATGGATGACTAGATTAATGAGTGATATTCGAAATACAAAAGGAATGTGCTGATTATATTTAAATATGTTTTTCCTTTCCTATATTTGTGTGTATGTGTCTTTCCTCTCCTCTACGACTAGATCATATAATTTACACTTGCAGCACAAGCAGCTTTTATTCATATGATAACGTTAGATTACTTTTTTTAAACATAATTTTACATATGATTAGAAGCTGAAAGAGGCAATATGTGAAATATAACGTAATATTAGTCTATTTTAATGGGTAATAAACAGAGCAGCGTGACTACGTGTACAATTTATTGCTATAACTTTCTGATATTATGATTAATTATTTGCATGTAACTAATATTATGAAGCTAGTGTACATTTCTAGGTGTCATGCTTTCTCACCCAATGATTATGGCAGATTTTGATGTGTTATGCGGTACTGAAGATGAAGTGAAAAAGTGCGAAGCGGGAAATATTCGGAACAAGAACGGTAATCATCACATCGTCACAACCCCACCTGAAAAATGGAATTATGACGATGTTGCTGCATGGCTTAATGAACAGGGTTTTGAGAAATATGCTAATATCATCGCTTACAGACATAAGGTATTTTTTCTTCTGCTGCACGAGTAATTATTGCTTAGTGAATAAGTAATGAATTAACATTTGACTTGTCAGTGGTAAATATTAAGTTTCTGCCTGTATTTTTCTCATCCGTTATTGTTTGAAAACGAGCTGTCTTCGTGAATCTTTTCAAGTTCCTTTTCTCATGTCATGTCAGATTGATGGTCGTACATTACTTATGCTAACAGAAGTCGATTTACGCGAGAAACCATTGAAATTGGATTGCCTTGGTGATATTAAGCGCATTGCCTTAGCTGTTTCGAGGCTAAGAACTGATTTGGCGTCTTTAGAAGCGGTGGTTAGTATTTGTATTATCTAGTAAATTTTAAGCTTATGTATTTGGTTCTGCTAAAATCATTGTTTACTTCTGAATTTATGTTTGTCGTTGCAGTTGAAACAATCAAAACGACATGAGTGTGGTTATAATGCGAACGATCAGGATAGGGTGGATACGGTCGGTAAAGCAGCATAACTACATTCTGTTATGATTGCTTCAGGTTGTGCTGATGACCAGAATTTATACGAAGAACAGCTTTGTACAAAACTTTCTGTTGGAATATCCTAAAGTTTTCATGCTATTCATGTTATAAATAGATAGTCTTCGTTACTGGTGATTCAGCACAATTTATTTGATTGTGTACTTTTTGGTTGAAACTTGGGAATTATAAATCGTTTTTCAGTCAAAGCTGCAGTTGGCCGTTGCAAGCACGAGGAATCAAATATCATTTCCTGGTAATGATCCCTTACTAATTGATTCGAGTGATCTTAAGAATTATGAAGATCGATTGGTGCCTACTGCGGGCCCCTATCCAAAAATTTTGTCTAAAACAAGGCAAGATTTGCTATATTGTTGCACTACATACATTTTTATTACTCTCTGTGATGATTAGTTGTCGTTATTCAGTATTAAAATAATATTAGGAAAGATATTACCATGTGAAGCACTAGATTTCCAGACAATTTAAGCCGCATTTATTTCTTTATAACTGTTTTATAATGTTGTATCCTGTCTGAGTTGCTAGTGATTCAAATGATAAAGCGTCTCAAAACTTAAATTTAATTTCATGCAAAAAAAAACCATTTTGACTTTCAGTGAAACTGCACAGTGTATAGCTGCAAATTCGTTAGATGAGGGGAGATTAAAACAAATGCATCTTCTGAGCAGGGAAGATTTGATACGACAGGTTATTTTTTCTCATGTTCTTTTCTACTTTTCTTGATTAAATTTATATATTTTATAATGTAAACTATGTTCTCGACTAATTTAACTAGTATCCTAAATTCTGGTCTACGATTTTAACAGGAGGATAATTTTGTTTTTCACAAATGCATTTGCTTTTGAAAAATCCTATTATACGTCATTATATGTCATTTTGAATAAAGTTCAATGAACAGGTTGCAGGTGGAAAGCCCCGACACAAAATTCAAATCCTTCATAAAATTAACTATTGCTTTTTGTTATTGTACGTCTTCTTTATTAATTACTGCTTTTGTAATGGTTCTTGTACATGATCGTGTACCAGGTGAGTAACTTTTTGTCTCAGAAAATCTATTTAAAAATTTTCAAAAACAACAGCCTAAGAAGGAAATATCATATTTGGACTGTCTCTTACTAAGCTTTACTTGTTAATATAATATCTGTAGCAATTTTTAGATATGAAAACATATCCACCTTTGCCAGATATCGTACTTGATAACTTGCCGCTGATACCATGGGCTTTTCAAGTTTGTGAAGGAATAGCAGTTTTTCTGGCATTACTGTGGTTCACGATTTTGTTCTTCCATAAGCATCGGTATTTTTTGCAGTAATCACAGTAATCGTAAATAATCACTAAACAAGTTACCTGTTGCGAAATTTAGTGGCCAATTTATTGGTATTTCACGGAAATCATTTATTATAGTGAAGCTCATACTGTTTTGAAAAAGTTTAGTTGCCTGCAAGAACTCCCAGATGCATTACATGACTTTTTTTAATTACTGTTATTCTACTATTGTTATTCTGGTATTCACAGTGTTATAGGACTGTATATTTCGCTGTCTGAATGTTCACGCTATACCAGAGTTTTTCACTATATTAGTATTGCTATGATAACATCGTAAATGTTTAAAGCATGCTTTGAAAGTAGTCCTCTAAAATGACTACTGATAATTTTTAAGTCTGAGATTTTCGGTAATGAGACCCAGTAATCAATCAGACCTGAATGTTAACAAATAAGAATTATTTTCTTTTCAGAGTCGTTATAATGCGACGTATGTTCTCGTTGGTTGGAACTGTTTTTTTGTTGCGTTGTGTTACGATGCTAATCACATCCCTATCTGTTCCAGGTCCACATTTGGAATGTCGTTCACAGGTAATTATTTTTGTCGAAGGGAAGATGTTATAATGTGTAGAAGTATGGTTTCGACCTCGAGGAATAGTGTTTTTCCTGCATTAGTGATCGATGACTCATCTATCTGTATGAAAGTATTTTTTGTCTTTCACCAGTTTAATGTTTTACCAGAGTTATGGTACATTCGTCGCAAGGCTTCAGCAAGCCTATCATATCTGGTCACGATTTGGTATGTCAATCCATGGTGTGCGCTCGTGCGGTGATTACATGTTTAGTGGGCATACAACAGCTATGACATTATTAAACCATTTCATTACTGAATGTTGGTCCATATCTTTCATTTTTGTTCAGGTTTTTAAATTGTATTCATGACTCCACAAGGCGCATTACTGACAAATACTTTTCTGTTTTGTTGGAATAAATCTTTCCTTCAGTTCTGGAGTTTCTAGGCTGGCAATATTTCTGAATGGTAGCATTTCTTGAAATGTGGTTTTGCGCACTTATTTTTTTTTTTTTGCTTTATGATCACTATTTAAAGTAAAAATGATTCTCCTTAGCTTATTCATTTATAACTACTTTAATGTCTCGTAATTAAATTTCTTCTAAAATTTTTGCCTAATTGTTTCTATTCTAATTGCTAATTATATGATTTTGGGTGAGATATTTTCATTGAATAGGTTTTATTTTATCGATTAGTTTAAGTCAATACATAACATGGGGATAAAGTGGTAAATTTGGGCAAATTTTACAGACACACCAGATTCATGGCATATCTTACATACATTTACTTGGGTTTTAAATCTGTTCGGCATATTTTTCATTTTGGCTGGACACGAACACTACAGTATTGATGTATTCATCGCATTCTGCATCTCATCTCGAATGTTTTTATATTACCATGCATATGCATATCAATTTAGTTCAGCAAGAAGCGATAATCGAATGAGATTATGGTTTCCGCTTGGCTGGTTTGTTTCACTTTTTAATCGCCATTTTTCGTTCGGGGTTAGCAGGGTAGCTCTTTCGGGTCTAATAACAAAGGAGCAGTTCGTTGTGGTTCAGACAAGAAATATATTATTATATAGGTAGTATTTAACATCTTGTTCCATTATTTTCAAGAATACACGACCGTTTTCAGGTTTTTTGAAGCTGGTGGACAAGGCCGTGTTGCAAATGATTTTGACCTTCCCCTTTATTTTCCTGTAATATCGTTTCCTTCATTCCGGAGAAATCTGTGTATGAAAAGCAAGAAAAAAACAGATTTGGATAAAAAACCCCTACCAAAGCTTGTTATAGATACCTGTGGTATTTCAACGGATTGCAGCAAACATCTTAAAAGACGCAGAAATAAAAAAAATGAAACTTCTCTGTGCGAAGGACACGTAACTTTTGGGAAAATTTTTTCATAGTTTCACTTTACTGATTAGAAATAGGAATTAGATTTTGCTTGTTGTTCGGAAAGGGAAAGTTCATTCCAGAACTGAAATTGAAAAAACTTTAAAGAATACAAAGATTTTGTTATGAGATAGAATAGTTGAGTGAAAAAAAAAAAAATTGAATCCAGTGTTTATATGAAAATCAGTCGGCTTACCCGTAATTTTCGTACTTTTGTTTTTTAAGAACTTTTTTTATACTTAAAAAAGATATATTCTTGTTTAGCTTCAGCCATTCTTGAAAGAATAGATTTAAAGTGAGAGAAAATATTTTACTTCATTTTTTGGTGACATATGTTTTAATATTTAAATGCTTTTATGAATAGAAATTGTCGCATTTCGTCTAGTAACTGAGGAGCAGCATATTTCATATTTGCTTTTTCTTGGCTTTAGGAAAAGTGAATGAGAAAACAGAGAAAAAGAAATAAATCAGTATGTGTGATATAAAAAAATATTTGAATCTTTTAAGTTCTGGAACACTTGTTGTTGGTGTTATATATTCATTAATATACTTAATTTATAATTGAGCAAACAGGCCACTAAAGTTCAGGTATTTTGGATGTTTTTTTTTTACTTCATTATAACTGGAAGTAAAGGTTAGGTGAGAGTAATAAAAATTGCAAGCTCGGCTTTTTTTGGGAATGGAGTATTTTGTTATTAGTGAATAGTTGTAATGTAATCGTTACTGATACAGTGAAGATCAGTGATTCTTTAATAATTTTCCAATATATTTGGATGAAGGTAAATCAAGTTTTCGTTTATGTAGAATATGGTTATTATGGTATCACTGTCTATTGAATTCAGGCTAGTGATTCTTCCACAATATTGTTTTGTTGTAGAAGAGTTACTGCTATATTACGCAATATTAAATGTTGTTATAATTTAGTTGTATTAAATGCTGTTACACCTTAGTTATGTTTTCGATGACTTTTTTAAAGTCATCGATTTTTTTTCTAAATGAATTGTTTTATAAAATCACATCATCGTTTACAAATAAATCTCTTTAAGATTCATTTGTAAGCAGAAGTCAAATTTAAAACAAGTAGATTAGTAAAATATTTTGATATCTCTTTCAATTCGATATTTCTTTTAATTAAATGTTTTGTAGATGTACGTGCACTTTTTTGAATGATTTGGTAATGTTCCTGATACAATTCTGACCAAAGATTCAATTCTTTAAAATATTCGCGCATAAAAATATGAAGCGCCCTACCTGTACATCTGCAATTGTCATTTTTCCAATTATTTTGAAGTTTATTCTATTCGATTTAGGCGATTTTGTTTGTTTTTAAAGCCATTTTTTTGTCTAATTGTGAGATAAAAATTTTTTAAATCAATATAACTTGTTTTTTATGCTTTATGAAGAGCCCGAAGATTTTAACTTCAAACTAAAGTTTCGTATTGCTGTTTCTAGAACAGCTTAGTTAGTGAAAGGACTGGAAGCGTATTCTCAAGTAAAATTCAATGACAGCAAAGCTACATATTCCTTCAGTATTTCATTGATTAATCTTAACATTATATCATTTTAAAGCCATTTTTATTCCTGAAAAAAAAAAAAAAAAAAGATTTCTAGGAACTTTTCATCGAGTTATTACTGTTAGTTGCTAATCTTAGGCAATGATATGAAACAATGAAGAACCGAACAGTTCGGCAAATGGAAAGGCGGAGTGAGATCATTTATTTCTGAGACTACAAATTGCAGTTTTATTCCCTCGAAATTCCTTTTTTAATATTTGATGTTTAGAAGTTTGAGGTGTGTAGGTTGATTGTTTTAAAATAAAATATGACTTTTCCTTATATTTATTGTTATTTTTTATCGTTAAGTGGAGTGGTTTGTGTAGCTTCGTGCTTTTATCTTATCAAACAGTTGCAATAGAAATTATATACATTGAATGTCAACTGTTCCGATATTCGAGGAACAGATGGATCCGGATTTGCACAACCAAAAGATACTTCATGGTTATATGCCGTTAGCAGATGCGGAAATAGTAACTCACAAAGGGACGTGATTACTTCGACTAATGGATTATAAAGGTAAAATTGTTTTTCACTGTTGCTGAAGATTTTAATGGTAGTTTCGTTAAAGTCGGGAGATTTACTAAAGTATTATTAGTAAACATAATTTTAATTTCGAACTTAAAGCAATCCCCAAACTTTGGAAACTTTAAATGATGCAGTTGAATAGAATAAAATACGAAATTTGTAGCTATGCAATGAATTTCAAGCAATGAAAAAGAATAATTTTAGGTCAGCACGTTTGCCACAACGGTGAAGTAATAACGGTATTAATCGCATGAATAAAATTTCTTCACTGATGACCACAAGGTTCGTTTTGTGAGCCTATTTCTTCTCCTTTTCTTTAAAAAATGGTAATTATTAAAATTGCAGTCTTAATTTGCGTTTGGAAATAAATTTAATGATAGATACTAAGAACCTTTTACGTCTAAATAAGTACAGATAGCGATTACCTGTTATAGGTCCGATAACAATAAATAGTTATTCAGGATCATAGTAGAGGTATAGTCACTACTACACTGGCATCAAAATAAGACGCTGGTAGCACGGAAACGGTTTTGAAGAAACCGATTTTTTTTTACTGGCCGTTATACTAATCTGAACAAATGTTAACACATACTTGTTTTTCCTCGTTCTTGCTTATGTTGAAAAAGAAAAAATTCAAGCCGCAGCGATGCTGCTTACAAGCAAGCAGTTAGTAATAGAAAGTAGGAAGCAATTCTTGGCTGGAGCTGGCATTCTGAAAGAAATATCACATTCGAATATTTTACAGTTTTATGATGTTATTATTACAGCTCTTCCGCTTACAATGATTGTTGAATTTTGTCAAAGGAAATTTCGTTTTTAATTATCGTCCATTTATAAATAGTAACCTATGACATATAGCCTAAACCTGTAACTTGCAACCTACACTTTATGTTTTACAATTGCAAATTTTTTTGAAGATTGAAAAAAGATTACTCAAAACCCACAATCTATTATTACTTATAATCTATAACCATATTATTGCTTATTCCCTAACTCTTAACCTATGATTTAGAACCTATAATCTATTATTTAATACTTATAACGTATAACGTGTAACCTACAACCTATAACTCTGAAAATTACAAAAAATATTGAATAGATAAAGCTATAACAACAGAATGCTTGTATTAAATGATTGGAATTCAAGTATTCAAGATAAGTTAAGAATGCAAATTGGAAATGAATTTCGCTGTGAAATACAAATTGAAAATCTAGTGAAATTGTTAACGTTTCTACAAAAAAAAAGAAGCTTGAAAAGACCAGAAAGCACGCTATGCGACCAAAGCAGCCACTGCACTGAAATATCTCACTGAGAAAGGATATGTCCGTAAGTGATTAGATCTTTCTCCCAAAATCCCGAGATTTACTGGTGACACATTGATGTCCATCCCATAAAAATAATGTATTTTAGCTGATTCATTCATTTTTTCCGGATTTCTCAATGTGCGCTTTTCAGGTTAGTGAGGAAAGTTTTTATTCCAAAATAAAATGCAATAACAAAAACCTTCTCAGTGAATGTGAGAAGCGATGAGAGAGGACAACTGATAAAATTTTTATTGGTTGTATTGATTCCGAAAATTTACCGAAATTATAATTCAGAGATGCGAAAGCGGAGAACTGTCTCTGATCGATAGAAATATGAAGTTAAAATTGGCTTTTTTTGCTATGTTAGATCAGACCTACCATTTATTCATAAGTAACCTTTGAGAGTATTTCTGCAGGGTAGCTGGTCTATAAACTATGCTGAGACATGATTTCTCCAAGGAAACCGATGTCCGGGCTTTTGGTTTTCTTGCAAGTTTCTCCTCAATGACGCTAAAAATAAGTTTCTTAGTCGTAAGAGAAAACATTTTTAATTGTGTGTTGTTTGGATGAAGTGTTATTACAATAATATGTCAGATTCTATCATTTTCAATGAGATTACTTACAAAAGTACAAATGGGGAATCTATAAAAACGGCGATATAACTTATCGAGGTCTATCAAACTTGGAAATCCAGTCGTTTGTCATCCACATCAAAGACGCTTGGAACTCCAAAGGTTACTTTCCTAGCGGGACCATTTCGCATTTCTTACTCGCACAATTTCAACACACTGTACGCATACCACTATGCAAAGAACTATATAAAAGTATTGGAATATATTTCCAGAAGCACGTTATCAGTCAACACATCAATAAAAGTAGCATAACAGTACACGTCTACGTATCAAAACATATTTGTGGTAATGCCGATAACGCAATGACCCCCCCCAAATGAAAATCAGATTTCTGAAAGCACTGATGGTGAATAAATGACACGTTGTTGGGAAAAACCATCTCGACGACCAACATTTTAAGAACTCGAGTCCACACTGGGTCATGTCGGAAAGGATGAACGTCAAATCCGAATTGCTAACACTTCTGACTACACCATAAAATTTCCGTACATAAATCAATAGTGCGCCTGTCCTTGACCAATAAGGTCAGCATTAAACAAAACGACTGCAAAATGCGCTAGAACCAGACTATCCTAACAATAAACGAAGTACACTTAGCTCAATTTAGTAAACACCTAAGGTAAAAGCGAACAAGAACCCTTTCCACTGCGTCCAAGAACAAAATCTCATAACCTGTATGGAAGAACCTTCACCTGGAAGTCACATCTGGCCCCACGCGGAGCAAAGAACTCCTTGGCCAACCTTTTGTTATGAATAAAGAACCACTTTCAAGTGGAAGCCCAAATCAGCATTCTCACACGAATGCCAATCAAATATCACTAGATCCTTTACCACCCCTGCTTTACATCTGTGTAATCGATCTTTGAATAACTTCATTTTTTTACAACTATGCATTGATGACGTGGAATAACTTTCCCACTCATCACCGGAATTCGCAGAAATTCCCCTCCTACCTTACATCATTTGTAAGAGTGCTTACTAAAACCAAACACTATTTCTCGACCAAAAAAAAAATCAGAAATTCAGCACAATCACATATGTCGAAATAATCTATGGAACAAAGCATTGTAAAATTTTTTATTCACAAATTCGTAGAAAAGGAAAATCACGTCCACCTCGAAAACTAAAGGAAATCCGGCAATTTTGGACCAGTAATTAGAATTAGCGGACAGTATATACTTTTTTCCGAAAAGTAGTACCTATTCCCCCGTGAGAAAAGCGTGGAAACCAAACCTCGAAAATAGGAAGACAATTTTACCAACTTATTCCAAGTTTTCGTATTTCATAATTGCAATTCCTGCCCAAAGTCAGCTTAATAAGAACGTCATTGATTCTCCAATTCAAAAAAAATTTACAGCAAGTATGAATCAGTATCCACCACGAAGGCGAAGAACCAGGTGCAGCGTCGATTCCTTCTGAATATTATAATCAGACAATGTGCGACCGTCCTCCAGCTGCTTGCCCGCAAAGATCAGTCGCTGCTGATCTGGTGGAATGCCTTCCTTGTCTTGAATCTTTGCTTTGACATTTTCGATAGTATCAGAAGCCTCCACTTCGAGTGTTATGGTTTTACCCGTCAAAGTCTTTACAAAAATCTGCATTCCTCCGCGCAGTCTAAGCACCAGATGCAAAGTAGATTCCTTCTGGATGTTATAATCAGAAAGCGTGCGACCATCTTCCAGTTGCTTTCCTGAAAAGAAAACCTAGACCAAAGAAACAGGAACCTCTAATTCGAAATCAAAACTTCTGAACATTCCTTGACTTAATGCAAACTAATTTGTCATTAGAATGTCAGTGCAGACTAATCTGTGAAACGGTGCTGAGCAGAAGGAATGCCCTCTTCACCATGGATATTGTCATTTAATTTTGAATCGCATCCGATACTTTTATCCTCGGCGTTACAGTTTTTAGTTTAACGAAAATCTATATTCCATCACAAACACGTTGTGTCACCAAACGCAGTGTCGATTCGTCTCGATGTTATTTAGACAATATGCGTTCATCTTCTAGATGATTACAAACCATGCCCGCCAGTGATATATCGGTAGACAGCAGATCCCATTTCAAATTTCTTATTCATTGAACAAAAATTAAGTAAATGCTTACCAGCAAAAATAAGGCGCTGCTGATCCGGAGGGATCCCTTCTTTATCCTGAATCTTGGCCTTTACATTTTCGATTGTGTCAGAAGCCTCAACTTCTAAGGTGATCGTCTTGCCCGTCAATGTTTTTACAAAAATTTGCATGCCACCTCGGAGGCGAAGTACAAGGTGAAGTGTAGACTCCTTTTGGATATTATAATCAGACAAGGTACGACCATCTTCCAATTGTTTACCTGCAAAACATAAGGAAATTGCCACCCATCTGAAATGTGCATTATTTTTGCCTAAATTTTAACGGAAAAATTACGCAATAATTAACCGCCATAAGACACATCACTTTGAAAAACATACCCGCGAAGATCAATCGCTGCTGGTCTGGTGGAATTCCCTCCTTGTCCTGGATTTTTGCCTTAACATTCTCGATGGTGTCAGATGCTTCCACTTCCAATGTGATTGTTTTACCGGTAAGAGTTTTAACAAAGATTTGCATACCACCCCTCAATCGCAGAACCAGATGCAATGTCGACTCCTTCTGAATATTATAATCTGACAAAGTACGCCCATCTTCCAACTGCTTACCTGAAAGAATGAGTTTGTTGTTAGGGCGCACCTCTCCTCTTCTCTTCTTTAACTACTTAACGGACTAAAACAGAAATTTCATATAAATCAAGTAATTTTCATACCTGCAAATATAAGGCGCTGCTGGTCTGGCGGAATACCCTCTTTGTCTTGTATTTTTGCTTTAACATTTTCAATTGTGTCTGAAGCCTCCACTTCAAGAGTGATCGTTTTTCCAGTCAGTGTTTTCACGAAGATTTGCATGTTTACAAGGATAACGCACTGCAATAAGTTAGCTTTACTTTCCAAACAGCAAGGGACTGTTTCATTTTTATTGGGTAGGGACTCCGAGAGAAACCTAAAAGTATTCGACAAGATGGAGCACGTTGCCTAGAGAGCTCTGACATGCTATCAGCTCTCATGCAAACATATAGCTAATTTATTCTCTCTAAATCAAAGTCCTATCTGAACTAGTCTCAAACCATCGCCAACTTTCTCTGCTTTGCCTTTCTAATAACCGCACTAGTTAACTGCGAGTACAGTTTGTCATTCCAACCCCACAATCCTGAAGTACCACCACTAGTCCAGCTACCCGCAAGCCCTCATATTACCCATCTAACGATGTTCCCACTATCCCACTCCAACCAGCAGCACTCACCAGCCAGCCAACCAAACGAATAAATGATTCCCAAGGCAGGCCGGCCATCTTTTATAGCATTCCGTCCGAAGCCCTCCCCACTCCTCCACAATCGATCGATTTGTTGGGCAGTCAACCATACAGCTCGCTGCCCTCTTTCTCTCATTCCTCCGTCCCTGCAAATTTTCTGTTCAGAATGTAGCAATGTATGCATTATCGATTGGCTCTTGTCTCAGATGACAGATGGGAGCCAATCGATAATCAATCGATACACAGCCGAACCGTCATTTCAATTGCTACAAATACAAATAAGGTTGGGGATTTCTTGCCTACCACCTAGTCGTTCATCATTCCATCCAATCATCTGTCTAGGTTGTACAGCCATTTTTCTGTGAGTGCGCGAGAAGGGCCAGGATTTGCCGGGCCTACCAAAGGGTTGTCTTAGCGACGTCGCAGACTCAAACAGCAACAGCAGCAATAAATGACCGCATCTGAGCACAACTTATACTAACTGACCCTCCACCTGTCGATGTGGGAAGAGATACAATGACCTGACCCTTTGACCTTCACTGCCATATATGGGAACATCATAGACAACACCAGATATGAATCTCAAACTGTTGTATTCTAGTACTTCCATGGATTATGGTTGTGAGTGATAATGGTGATAATAGTTCATGTTTTACAGATAATAATGTGTATAAGAGATCCTGAGCAATGCTGATTTGGGAATCCCATTAAAAAAATATTTACTCCAAACGATGATTTAGATGGCTCTAGGGATCACACTGCTATTATTTTTGTGTGCGGAGAGGCCAGTTATATCGTTGTGTGGAGTGTGCTAACTTTCTGGATTCTAATAAACAGTATTTATTGCTGTAGCTCCAAATTATTCTCCAAATATCCCAACCCTACTGATGTCACCTTTATAACTGCCAGTTTACTCTTCCTTGTTTGGTTCTTAACATATTCTCTCATTAATCAACGATAAGTTGACTCATCTCTAGGAGATTCTCAGATGCACCGAATGTGCACTTGGAGATTTGTTCACATTGAGTGCAAATTAGGCCTATAATTTGTTCTGTACCTTCCTGTTGCATTGATTTTTTGGATTATCAGAAAAAAAAATAGCGGAAAAGAGCAAATCACAACAGGTTATTAGTTTGAGTCATGTGTGTGTCCTGTCACTCTCTGCCACTTCAAGGCAAATGCAAATTGTTAACAGCTTCACCATATGATCTTAATTCACTCTCAGTAACATCTATCACTCATATGTGTTATTCCCCAATGAGCTATTCCACTTTATACCTAGTACTTTCCTTTTTTTTTAACGAAAGTATGATGAAATATGGGAACTGAAGGTAGACATGATGATCTGATGTCGAGAGAGCAATGCACGAGAAACTACGTCAATTGTACATACGGTTGATAGCGGACACGCAATGGTATTTGTGAGTGAATTACAACAGATGAAATAGCCGGGAAGGAGGGAATTCGAGAAATGAACTGAGAGGCCAGTAATAAATGAATGTGACGGTACAGATAGTCGTTATCATATATTTGCTTTCTCAGCATACACAGGCGGACCTTCGCTGGGACCGATAGGATGGGCAGGACTACTGTTTCTCCTCCATAACATTGCCTATCGATTCTAACCTTTCTTCACAGCGACAGTCAATCTATGAATGGTTGAATGAATGAGATGACATTGCAGTAGCTGTTCAAAATATTTTGGGGACTGTATAAATGTTTTATTTTAGGAAGAAATAATGTCCTCCATTTTTCAGCTCTTGAACAGACTACTTTCTGTGCTTGCAATACAATTAAATATTTGCATGTTTCATTACTCAGGTTTCTCAGAGCGAGATTTACCTGCGTAGAAATCACTGACATTTACGTATCTTTGCTTTTAACGATACTTGTACATATTTTACGAGAACTCTTGTTAACTTAAAAAGACTAAATTTGTTTATTCATTGCCATTTTCTAAAAAACACTTAATGGTAGTGAGTCGCGTGATCAATAAATAATTAGAGGGCAGAGTTGAATTTTTCGGCAACACGTGAATCCCATGATCTCAACGCAGAGCTAAAAAATATAAATATTTCATATACTTTAAATACAAATATTTCATACTTTAAATAGGCAAGAAATAATGAGCATAACTGAGGTCTGTTTACATATGCTTATCATGAAAAACGACAGTTAGAACATTTAGTAAACTATATGATAACAAGCTTAGTGTTTCTTCAGATCTGGATTTGGTCACTCAACGTGAGCAAATTAATGATAATTGAGAGCATACGACCACAGAATTCTGAAATCTAATTTTGAAAGCCTCGATTCAATAAAACAGTCAGAAAAACCAGCTTTATCTGAAGGAACTTGGCGATACTTAATGCTATAAAAACCAAAGCGTCACACCAACAAGACTCAATCCTTGTCCTCTTGAGCAACAGTAGAATTTCCCACTCTACAGTAAATACTGCTGAATAGAATACGAAAGTCCTGTGTCATCTACAATTGTCCATAAATATTCAAAAATAAATTGAAACAGAAAAAAAAAAGAAGTCGTTCATCTAAGATTAGAGAGAGAGAGAGACTTCGACTAGATCACATCCAAAAAAAGCAACAATGACAGTTTAACGTAAAAATTGTTTTTTACACGAGATGAGCTGGGTCAGAATATATGCACCAGAACATTAATGCCTAGAAGTGCTTATGTTTGTTTGCTTTTTTGTCAAGAGCTATCAATATTCTTACGAAATGAGATTATGATAAAACGTCTCATCATCTTTTTGATAACAACCTTGTTTTTTAATCGCTTAAATTACTAGTACTTCCGAAATTTCTGGAACCGTTAAAGTAATCAAGGACGGAAAAATCTTTACATCTGTTAATTGTATCCTGACCCTTTCATAACAGAAAAGTAAATTCATCTTGAACTAAATTTTGATTTCTTTCCGCCTCTGCATATTGAACTGTAATGCCATATTCTTGAAGGTTTTTGCATTATGAGTTTCTTTCAACATATTAACAACTTCCTCAGTATTACCATATGGAAGGCCATTTAAGCACTGTCTGCAATGCAAAGCAATAAGAATCCAAAATGATATGAGCAATACCAAAGTACTTTCTGAAAAAAATGGTCGAAAGGCATAGCAATTCATGGAATATAATAACCTTGTCTCCTGTGGATAGTTTCGAGCAAGTAACATCAAAATTTCTGAAAGTGCTTCAGCTGTTGACTTCATCAGTTCAGTTTGCAAACGGCTAAATACAACACTAATAAGATTTTCTCCACCTTCTTGAAGCACTTCTGCGAATGTACCATTATTGATTACATTCCTGATCATTGTAGCAAGGAGAACTGAACTCTTCCGACATAAATTCGTATCTTTACTATTGGCCAATATCTAAAAATAATTTCACTCTATCCTCCTCACAGTATACAAATTGACGGTCATATTTACTGGATTTGTGAAGTTTTTGAATTGTGAATCACTAACAGTTCAGCAGTTTTGTTCATAAACTATAATTAACTATAATTAAAATGGCAATCCTTACTCCTCTTGCTGATATCTCATTGAAAAAGCCAAAATGAAGAGAGCTGACCTTCACTACTATGTCAAGCACTGCTCGAAGAAAAGTATATCCATATGCCGGTGAGCTGCATACAAATTTCCAATCTTTCTTCACAATGTGATAAGCTAATTCTATATGTTCTTCACTAAATTCTTCCATCGATTCGTTAATATTTTTGAACCAAGATGCCATTCGTGCTACGAGTTGCACAACCAAATTATTACTCGAATAAATTAGAACCATTGATTTTGCTAACTTGCATGCAGCAACTGGATGCCTTAACATAATAAAATCAAGTACAATGCAGTAAGAATCCAATAATGCTTCAGCATCATCCTGAACAGCTATCAGACCTGAACGTAGAACATCACAAATTTTTTCCACCAAAATTTCAGAAGAAGAAAAGTTCCGAAGCAAATTCAATAGCAAAGGCATAGATTGCCACAGTACAATATGAGCTGCTTTTTTTGGAAAATTTTTCTCTTTCGGTTCACTTTCACTGACAGAAGTAATAGAATGCATCTTTTGAGTACTTATCAGAGCGGAAAGCACATCAAGTTCGAAAATACATTCCTCCTCGAGACTTTTCGTTGATTGAGAATTTGCTGGCATACGTCCTTCAACAATTAATTGCAAAATTTTTAGTCGCGGTGTAAGAATTGAATCCAAACTATTTAACACATAATCCGACTCATGTGTGGATAAAGATAAACCTAAACATCGAAGCGCGCAAATTCTCAACTGCCGTGGTTTCTGACTGTTATTGAAATATTCGTAACATTTCTGTATCACTCGATCCATTACATCCAAATATGATGTTCGCGATTCAACATATTTCTCTAGATTTCTGAGTGCCTCTTCTGTGGAACCAGTAATATCAATAAACGACAAAGCAAGTTCCATACAAATTGTTTCCTGCTTATCAGCATCAGCTCCTGTACAGATTAAATGTGACAACGAATAAAAGAGATTCATCAAAGATTTTCCAAGCTGACTTGCTCCATAAATATCATCCGTAAGATGCCAAGATAGGAGCGACATA